AAGCCATTCAGCTCCTGTGCACACTAACACCAGTCAGCTCCCGTGTACACTAACACCAGTCAGCTCCTGTGTACAGTAAAGCCATTCAGCTCCTGTGCACACTAACACCAGTCAGCTCCCGTGTACAGTAAAGCCATTCAGCTCCTGTGCACACTAACACCAGTCAGCTCCCGTGTACACTAACACCAGTCAGCTCCTGTGTACAGTAAAGCCATTCAGCTCCTGTGCACACTAACACCAGTCAGCTCCCGTGTACAGTAAAGCCATTCAGCTCCTGTGCACACTAACACCAGTCAGCTCCCGTGTACACTAACACCAGTCAGCTCCTGTGTACAGTAAAGCCATTCAGCTCCTGTGCACACTAACACCAGTCAGCTCCTGTGTACACTAACACCAGTCAGCTTCTGTGTACACTAACACCAGTCAGCTCCTGTGTACACTAACACCAGTCAGCTCCTGTGTACACTAAGGCCATTCAGCTCCTGTGCACACTAACACCAGTCAGCTCCTGTGTACACTAACACCAGTCAGCTCCTGTGTACACTAACACCAGTCAGCTTCTGTGTACACTAAGGCCAGTCAGCTCTTGTGTACAGTAAGGCCATTCAGCTCCTGTGTACACTAAGGCCAGTCAGCTCCTGTGTACACTAAGGCCTGTCAGCTCATGTGTACAGTAAGGCCAGTCAGCTCCTGTGTACACTAAGGCCAGTCAGCTCCTGTGTACACTAACACCAGTCAGCTCCTGTGTACACTAACACCAGTCAGCTCCTGTGCACAGTAAAGCCATTCAGCTCCTGTGCACACTAACACCAGTCAGCTCCTGTGTACACTAAAGCCATTCAGCTCCTGTGTACAGTAAAGCCATTCAGCTCCTGTGCACACTAACACCAGTCAGCTCCTGTGTACACTAACACCAGTCAGCTCCTGTGTACACTAAGGCCAGTCAGCTCCTGTGTACAGTAAAGCCATTCAGCTCCTGTGCACACTAACACCAGTCAGCTCCTGTGTACACTAAGGCCATTCAGGTCCCGTGTACACTAACACCAGTCAGCTCCCGTGTACAGTAAAGCCAGTCAGCTCCTGTGTACACTAAGGCCAGTCAGCTCCCGTGTACAGTAAAGCCAGTCAGCTCCCGTGTACACTAACACCATTCAGCTCCTGTGCACACTAACACCAGTCAGCTCCTGTGTACACGAAGGCCATTCAGCTCCCGTGTACACTAACACCAGTCAGCTCCCGTGTACAGTAAAGCCAGTCAGCTCCTGTGTACACTAAGGCCAGTCAGCTCCCGTGTACAGTAAAGCCAGTCAGCTCCCGTGTACACTAACACCATTCAGCTCCTGTGCACACTAACACCAGTCAGCTCCTGTGTACACTAAGGCCAGTCAGCTCCTGTGTACAGTAAAGCCATTCAGCTCCTGTGCACACTAACACCAGTGTAACCCCTAGTGTAACCGAACACGGCTTGTGGTTAAAGCGTCGCTCTTCGCGCCGACCACTTCTGGTGTCCCCGGGCCGTGATTTTGCTGGAATATTGCTGAAAGCAGCATAAAACCATATTCTTTCATCCACTTTACAGTGAAGTTACAGTTCACGCAACGACCAAGGTTGTCGGCTGGAAATTCCGCCCTTGCACAGTCAGTACAACCGAGCGCAAAGGTTAGTATGTCACACGCAACCAAACGCAATTGCAACTGCGTTTTTTGAATATTAGAATTCAACAAACCACGATAATGCTACCTGTCACTGTACGAATTATATTAACATGTACAGGTACATACATTCTGTAGATCGATAGATGTTGCTATTGACGTGAGAAAAGCAATATCGTTAGGCGACGAGTGTTATTAAAAGTAAGTGTTCAGCGAGTTTCACGTCTCGCGCCAACACATTGACGTGACTCAATTAGATTTGAAATCAATTGGTTGCATATGATATGTCATGATGATCTCTTCACGCCTGAGTGGGTACGACAGTGTTAACCTGCCACAAGGAATGTACTGTGTACAGTGAAATCCAGTTAGAGTGGACGGTCCGGATCCTAGTGAAACCACACGGATCAACCAATTTCCGGATCACTGGATCAATTCATTTACGAAGCAAAGTCATTTCAATGTAATTAGACGTTCTAACATGAATCGTCTGTTAATTGGGATCCGGATTAACGGGTCCTGTGTGTGTGTGTGTGTGTGTGTGTGTGTGTGTGTGTGTGTGTGTGTGTGTGTGTGTGTGTGTGTATTGTGTGTGTGTGGTTTTTTTTATTGTGTGTGTGTGTGTGTGTGTGTGTGTGTGTGTGTGTTTATTTTGTGTGTGTGTGTTTGTGTGTGTGTTTATTGTGTGTGTGTGTGTGTGTGTGTGTGTGTGTGTGTGTGTGTGTGTGTGTGTGTGTGTGTGTGTGTGTGTGTGTGTGTGTGTGTGTGTGTGTGTGTGTGTTTATTGTTATATTATACATTTAAATATCACAGGTATCAAGGTACTAGTATCTGCTCAAATGCAGTTTTATTTCATCCCCCGGCCAGTGGTTCCGTTTGCAGTCCAGTTATCATTCTCAACTTCCTAGGGAGTATACAACCCAAGCTGTCTACGGGCGCTAGATGTTTTTTTACACCCACCTCACATATCGGGTACCCATTCCCTGCTGGGTGAACAGAGGCACATTTGAACTAAGTCGCTTGCCCAGTGTGCAACCACACGTTTTGACACTTGTGATTCGGGTGTATGTACGTATTCTTGTTTCGTGGGTGTGTTTCGAGTGTGTCGTCTTTTGGTATCGAACCATCGTTCTCCGTCCAAGCGCTGTATCCACGAGCACACTGTAGTGGTTGCAGACATGAGTGAGTGAGTTGGGTTTAACGCCGCTTTTAGCAATATTCCAGTTATATCGCGGCGTGTCAGCTTAATGTGGGAGGAAAGCCCGAAGTGATGCAGGTCTCAGGCGTTTACCACTTCGGTGAAACCCACGTGCACGGGTATGGTGCTGACAAACCTAGAAACATAATCGGGGCGAACCGGGATTCGAACCCACAATCATAGGTTTCTGGCGTGTCAAGGGGACGCAACTCTGCACAGCGAATCGCGGCGCCTTAGACGACTGGGCCCCCCGTGCCCCCCGTGCCCCCCGTTGCAGACATGAATGGCATACGTGAACTAACAACTTGGAGTGAGTGAGTTGTTCTACGTCCGTCTTGGTATTATCACGGTGAGACACTAAGAATAAACTGCACGCTCTACACCCTTAATCGAACATACTCGTCACAGCACACACATCTGTCATTATGCACGTGTATCCCCGTAAGACTGAGAAAAATAAAACAGAAAATAACGCTGAGAAAAAGTTGTAAGTACAGATTTTGAATATGTAGAGAAAATATATTGATGGTATGAATTAATTCCCTTTTCATCGCGTTTCATTGGTTTCAAATCCGATCCGACACTATATCAGTTGTAACATCAGGTCAGCTTTATGTGGGAGGAAACTCCGAAGTGACGCAAGTTGAAGACTATTACTTTGATGAAACACCCGTGCAGGGACATGGTCCCAGACCAATGATCACAATCGATCGAATCTGGGTTCGAACCAACGAGGAGCGGATCCTGGCACAGCTGAGGACCCGTCTCTTCAGAAACCACCTCGTGGTTCCCGATCGTGTTTCCTTTCACAAAACATGCATTCCTACCAACAATAACTGAACTGGTTTAACAGGACAACATGCCCCTTCATGTCCAAACCAGTATAAAGAGCTAAATAGCATCGATGGCATTTGTTCTTTCCCCCCTTCTTTTTATACAGATGTGCTCATTTATCGTAAAGGGCACAGGTAATCCCCTGAACGTTTGTGGAGTAGGATGCGCTGTGAGCGGTTCGAATCCCAAGTTGGGCCGATTATAACGTGGTCTTTCTGCTCCATACCAAGCACCGAACCCGTGGTGATGGTCAACGACCTGCATCACATGATGCCGTGCCACCGTGGCACGGTAACCTTGAAGATCCGGGTTAGAATAAGTCTCCCGCAACCCATGCTTGCCGTAAGAGGCGACATGGCTTGTCGGAGGAGGAGACGAATGGGATAGGGTGGTCAGGCTCGCTGACTTGGTTGAAGCATGTCATAGTATCCAAATTGCGTGGATCGATGCTTATGATGTTAATCACTGGATTGTCTGGTCCAGGATTGATTATTTACAGACTGCCGTCGTATAGTTCGAGTGCGGCGTTAAACAACAAACAAAACAAACAAAACAAAACACTGTATGATGACTGTTGACAACTCACATTCAAGGGTATTCCGACATGGGTACAATGTGTGAAGCCCATTTCTGGTGTCCCCCGCCGTGATATTGCTGGAATGTTGCTAAAAGCGGCGTAAAACCACACTCACTCACTACCTCACTACTCTTTTTTATCAGTCTAATTGTATATACACTTCAGTTAAGTGATAACTTGACTTTGGTTAAAGATATCGATACTCGTATTTAATCATTTATTCAAACGTCAACCATGCCTTGAGATCAGCAGTCTGACAACTGAAAACTCTCGTCGAAAAAACTGCCTCATTTCAAAGTTGTTCATGATCTTTAATCCCATACCTGCCCTACGTACACATCAATGATGCGCGTGTGTCTTGTGTTTGTTGTGAGAAAAAAGGGGCGGAGCAGTATCTTTGTACCAAACTCATACCATGGCAACACGATAATACCTTTCATTTTCTTGTATACCACCAAACATTGCTGCAGTAACGTTAGCAAACCAATTACACGCTCTACATGCTAATTCATACGGCACGTCCTGCTTAAAAAAACAGTTGAATCATAAATACAAAATAGCTTCGTTGTAATTACGAATAGAGACCCTTTGACTACAGGCAAGTTGTTCGGCTGTCGTTACCAGCCCACACACACATGATTCGAACATAAACTTTCAATGAAAACATACCGTATGATAACATATTAGGATATGAAAACCACGACAACAAATTATAGTGACAGGTGACAAAAAGTCTCACCTTGTGACGATCTTCTCGTCTTTCCCAGGCTTCTTCAACCTGAAGAACATAGCACACATGACTGTATGTTCAGTAAACTGGCTCTATATATATCCCTTGAATTTCTTGGTGAATTGCCACCAAAAGTCACCAACAAATAGGATGTATGCCCAACGCAATTGTCTGTACACTGTCTCCTCGAAACGGATCACTCAGCCTGCTTGTGGCCTGTCGTTCAGTTGTCGTCTGCCCGTTTATCTGTCGTCTGCTCCGTCCTCCGCGAGATCTTCGAGTCCAGGCTCGGCGGATGGTGACACTGCGCTAGTCAATTCTAACGCACACGGTATATCGATTCATTCGAAACATGTTGGGACAGTTTTGAAGCCTCAGTAACATAAGCGCGAACCACCCGTAAATGGGTCTAACACGGTTTACAGAATGTAAACAAGGGGAGGTAAGCGCTGTGTAATGTGGGTAAGTGGTCTAACGATTTCAGTGTCTAGTACCCGATTCCAAGACATCGACCCGCAATGACAGCGGTAAACAGTGGTAGCAGTCAGGTGTCTGGCTATAGTCACTGAATATTGACGAAGAAAGGGGAACTATTCGCAAATATTCTAGCAGAAGTGTATTTGCCTACATTTGATCCAGATTGTTGACTGTTAGGGTAAAGCACGGGTGGCCACTGTCTATTTGGAATGGAACCTAGATAGTCGATGCTGGATAGTGGTATTGTCAATCGTTGCTGGGCACCGTTGATAAAAACTTCAGTAATGTCATTCAAGGATGTGTTCAGTGTTGTCTAAGTGCAGAAAGTGGTTGCACTGGAAACTAAATATATGGTATATGCCAAACACAACAGAGCGCCCACTCATTGGATTCAGATCATCTGGTCTTGTGATTGATAAGTGTCGAAATAGATGACATTTTGTAAATGTATTGACAGACTACTCGTTACCTCAGTAAAACTATTTAAAATAGGCACTTATCTGGTTTTAATCGGCAATCGATATAATTATCTGTTTTAGTCCCTTAATGCCGAGCGCCAGACAGGGTAACAACAAGTACCATCTTTTAACGTCTTTTGGTATGATGCGGCCGGGGATCGAACCCCGGACCTTCCGCTCTCCGGGCGGACGCTCTACCATTAGACCACGGAGGCGGTCCAACTACTCCAGACTTATGCTGTTTTAATAGTAGTACCTCATTGAGTTACATTGCCGCAGGTCAACATTGATACCCTACCCGTACACAGTATACTGACTCAAAGCCGACCATTCCCTGTTTAAGCCCCTTAATGCCGAGAACCAACCAGGATAACAAAAAGTACCACCGTTTAACGTCTCTTGCTATGGCGCAGCCAGGGGATTGAACCACCGACCGTCCGCTTTTCGGGAAGACGCTCTATCCATAGATGGGGGGTCTGGTAGTCAGACTCTTTGACTTGGCTGAATAAAAGGGAACAATGGTAATTGTTGAAAGGTGTTACCGCCGTTCCAGGGTTTCTTGTGGATCTCTGACTCACTTTGTACCGGTCTCCTTCTTGTTGGTCCATCTCTGACACACTTTGTACAGGTCTCTTTCTTGTGGGTCCATCTCTGACTCACTTTGTACAGGTCTCTTTCTCGTTCGTCCATCTCTGACACACTTTGTACAGGTCTCTTTCTTGCTGGTCCATCTCTGACTCACTTTGTACCGGTCTCTTTCTTGTGGGTCCATCTCTGACTCACTTTGTACCGGTCTCTTTCTTGTGGGTCCATCTCTGACTCACTTTTTACAGGTCTCTTTCTTGCTGGTCCATCTCTGACTCACTTTGTACCGGTCTCTGTCGTGTTGGTCCATCTCTGACACACTTTGTACAGGTCTCTTTCTTGTTGGTCCATCTCTGACTCACTTTGTACAGGTCTCTTTCTTGCTGGTCCATCTCTGTCTCACTTTGTACAGGTCTCTTTCGTGTTGGTCCATCTCTGACTCACTTTGTACAGGTCTCTTTCTTGTTGGTCCAACTCTGACACACTTTGTTCCGGTCCCTTTCTTGCTGGTCCATCTCTGACTCACTTTGTACAGGTCTCTTTCTTGCTGGTCCATCTCTGACTCACTTTGTACAGGTCTCTTTCTTGTTGGTCCATCTCTGACTCACTTTGTACAGGTCTCTTTCTTGTGGGTCCATCTCAGACTCACTTTGTACAGGTCTCTTTCTTGTGGGTCCATCTCTGACACACTTTGTACAGGTATCTTTCTTGTGGGTCCATCTCTGACACACTTTGTACAGGTCTCTTTCTTGCTGGTCCATCTTTGACACACTTTGTACAGGTATCTTTCTTGTGGGTCCATCTCTGACACACTTTGTACAGGTCTCTTTCTTGTTGGTCCATCTTTGACTCACTTTGTACAGGTCTCTTTCTTTTGGGTCCATCTCTGACACACTTTGTACAGGTCTCTTTCTTGCTGGTCTATCTCTGACTCACTGTGTACAGGTCTCTTTCTTGTTGGTCCATCTCTGACACACTTTGTACCGGTCTCTTTCTTGTTGGTCCATCTCTGACACACTTTGTACCGGTCTCTTTCTTGTGGGTCCATCTCTGACACACTTTGTACAGGTCTCTTTCTTGTTGGTCAATCTCTGACTCACTTTGTACAGGTCTCTTTCTTATGGGTCCATCTCTGACACACTTTGTTCGGTTCCCTTTCTTGTGTGTCTATCTTGACACGTTTAATACAGATCCACTTCTTGGAGGAGTATCTTTGACACACTTTCGTTTTACAATGATTGTAACTGTGTTACATTGTTTCTCTTGAAATTCGGTAAATGCTCATTGCATTGTGTTTTGACAGTCGTAAGTGGGTGAGTGAGTTGGGTTTAACGCCGCTTTGAACAGTATTCCAGTTATATCACGGCGTGTCAGCTTAATGTGGGAGTAAAGCCCGAAGTGATGCAGGTCACAGACGTTTACCACTTCGGCACGGGTATGGTGCTGACAAACCAAGAAACATAATTGGGCTGAATCAATCATAGGTTTCTGGCGTGCCCAAGGGACGCAACTCTGCACAGCGATTTGCGGCGCCTTAGACGACTGGGCCACCCGTGCCCCCCGGACAGTCGTCTGAAGTTACTATATTTAGATGCTAGTGTGGTGTGTAAACGTCCGGTACGGTGTACCGCGGACCATGATAGTGTGTTACCAAAATTTCTGTAACGTTCTCTGTCGTGAGGGCACGGTATAGACAGTTCCAGTAGCTTGTTAGGCTTGTTGATCTCTCAAACATTTCGTCTCACGCTTTTCATCGCTTCGGAACCAGTTTTCTTGCGAGGATCGCTCATCATCCCTGAGTCCCTGCCTTACCCATCTCGGAAGCTTGTCCACTGTCACCGCTGGGTGAGTATACTATTATCACTGACTTTTGCTATCACCAATGGGTTTTTGGTATTTCATGCTGACCACTGCAATCACGTTTTAATTGCCATTGAATATTGCACTACCATTCTGTTGTGTACTGTCATTGTAATTACTGTGCAGTGATTTGTATTGGTTTGTAAACCTAGTGAATTTCTGTAATACATTTATTAATTGTATACTATTTGTATTTGTTGTTTGTTGGTTTCACACAAGGTTAATTTACGTACAGATTTCTACTTTAACATATTGTTTCATTTTGGGACTCGACGCGTAACACTTTATACAGTTCCCCTTCTTGCAGATCTATCTTTCACACGTTATACAGCTCCCCTTCTTGTGGGTCCATCTTTGACACACTTTATACAGGTCTCTTTCTTGTGGGTCCGTTTTTGACTCACTTTATATAGTTCCTCTTTTTGTAGGTCCATCTGTGACACACCTTATACAATTCCTGTTTTTGTGGTTTTATCCTTGACACACTTTATGCAATTCGTCCTCTTGTGGGTCCATCTTTGATACACTTTATACAATTCGTCCTCTTGTGGGTCCATCCTTGACACACGTTATACAATTCGTCCTCTTGTGGGTCCATCTTTGACACACTTTATACAGTTCCTGTTTTTGTGGTTTTATCCTTGACACACTTTATACAATTCGTCCTCTTGTGGGTCCATCTTTAACACACTTTATACAGTTCCTGTTTTTGTGGGTCTATCTGTGACGCACTTAATACAGTTCCTTTTTAAATAAAGTTCCTCTTTTTGTGGGTCTATCTTTGACGCACTGAATATGGATCCCCTTCTTCTTTGCTCATCTTGTAAACACTTTCGGTGTACCGCGGACGATGACAGTATGTTACCGACATTTCTGTCATGTTCTATGTGGTGAGGGCACGGTATAGACATTTTCAGTAGCTTCTTAGGCTGTATATATAGTAGGAGAAAAGCGTGTTTAGGGATCTCTCATGCATTTAGTTTCTCACGCTTTTCATCGCCTCGGAACCAGCTTTCATGCAAGAACTGCTCATCATACCTGATTCCCTTCCTAACCCTTCTCGGAAGCTTGACCATTGTCGCCGCTGGGTGAGTATACTTTTGCTATCACCACTGTATTTTTGGTATTTCATACTGACCACTGCCATCACGTTTTATATTATATATAGTAATTTGTATTAGTTTGTAAACCTAGTGAATTTTTGTAATAATTAAATAATTGTATACCATTTGTTGGTTGTTTGTTGGTTTCCAACAAGGTTATTTTAAGTACAGATTTCTGGGTTATTGTTTCAAGTTGGGAATCGACGCGTAACACTTTATGCAGTTCCTCTTCTTGTGGATCCATCTTTGTCACACTTTGTATAGTTCCTCTCCCTGCAGGTCTATCTTGACACACTTTGTATAGTTCCCCTTTCTCCAGGTCTATCTTGACACACTTTGTATAGTTCCTCTTCCTGCAGGTCTATCTTGACACATTTTATATAGTTCCTCTTCCTGCAGGTCTATCTTGACACACTTTATATAGTTCCTCTTTCTGCAGGTCTATCGTGACACACTTTGTATAGTTCCTCTTCCTGGAGGTCCATCTTGACACACTTTATATAGTTCCTCTACGTGCAGGTCTATCTTGACACACTTTGTATAGTTCGTCTCCTTGTGGGTCTATCTTCGGCACACTGTATACAGTTCACCTTCTTGTCCGTCTATCTTCGACATACTTTAAATGGTCCCTCTTCTTGTTGTTCTATCTTAAACACACTTTATATATTCCTCTTCGTGCATGTATATCTTTGACACACTTCATACAGTTCCTCTTCGTGCAGGTCTATCTGTGAAACACTGTATACACTTGGGGGGGGTCTAGCGCCCTTGTTTGACATTAATAGCAGCATCGTTGTGGAACTTAACTTAGGTGCTACTATATCCCTTGATAATTACAATTTTATCATGAGATACGTTCGTACTGCATTTTC